GTGTTTATTATTACTTTAAAAACTTTGTTTTCAATAATAAGGATAATTTAAATAACAGTAACAATTCAACAATTTTTTCTGAAATTGTTCAATCAATTAAGCAAATTTTGTAATTACTCCCATAGACAAAGCTAACAATAATTATGCTATCTTCTGTGAAAAATTCTATGTTGAACTTTTAAATACAGAATTTTAAACTTAGTAATTTAAATAAATGATAATATTTCCATTAAAAAAGTTTTAGCTTTATGTAAGAGATTAAAAATTAAAATTAGCAATATACAATTTCCTTACTTAATTATCAGTCCTAAATTTCATAAAATTCCTGTAAAATTTTTGTTGATATATTTACTAAACATTTACTTTGCTAATTTGTATAATTTTTCCATGTGCAAATCCATTTCGGGCAAATGCGTGGCTGAAATTATGTGCAAAACAGGCAATTCTTGTTTCTTTCTCTTTTCTATTTTATATTTTTTTTCTTAAAAAAATATTTATTTTCTAAAATTATATATTGTCAACTTCTTTAAATTACCCAGTATAATATTACCTTGCGCACATCCATTTTTGGGTCCATCCTTGGTAACTAACAAATCAAACGCACTTTAGTAATGCAATAAGAACGCACTTTAATACAAAACTCCTCTAGTTACGCTATTAGCTCAATTTGCGCTTTTATTTTCATTTTTTGCAATCTGGCAATCTTGTTACAAATATATTTTAAATCGTTCTTGAAAAATGTCCCGTTCATTTAAGTTCATTTGAATTCGCCACTCGCTTTACAAATTTCTTCTCATGTTTTATCCCGTTTTTTCTTTATATTTTATTTTATGTTTTTACGTGATATTTTTACTTACTGTGATCTATTTTATTTGTTGTAATTTTTTTAAAATTTTTTTGAGTGCTCCTCACACTATTGTATTGATATATTTTGCTTTGGCTATATTGATAGAATATTAGAAAGCACTCCTTTTAGCGGATATAATCGTGCGAGCTGATGAAGAGATTGTATCTTTTCTTTTCCGGATTTTTTAAAAAACAATATTAAAAATTTTTTGTCCTTTTCCTCGGAATTTTTTCTCTCCCGTTTTTTGTTTTTTTTTATTATATTTTTCCCCCATACAGAGTGAGAGAGAAATTAATTAGTTAATAAGAGTGTTAGTAAGTTATTAAATTTGAGAAGGATTGGTTCACCCAGTAATATCCGGTATGGGAGAGGGCAACCCAAATATAGTGGAAAAGGTAGTGATGTTATCAAATGATGGAACAGTAAGTGATTTCTAGAAGTTATAAGCTTATTGCAGTTTCTTTCAGTGATACCAACTAGCTCCGCTTTGTAAAAAAAATAATTTCTGGTGGAAACGCTTGCAATTATCAAGATAACTGCACTACTAAAATAGTAAGCTAAAAATTACTTAACTTCGTTACCACTAGAGATTACTTTTCAACAAAGTGGAGCAATCCGGTAACACTGAAAGATATAGCTTATAACTTGTATAAATTGCTTTTGTTATTACGTAAGATAATTGCACAAAATTTCGTAAAACTAGCTTAAATATTCAAGAAAATGAGGACATTTTTATAAGAAACTAATTTTTTTGAGTTATGTTTTCTAACAGAAGATCAATTAAAAATTAGAAAATAATTCGTTAAAAATTGGACCAGAAATGTGCGTTTAAATTAGTTATGCGTGGGTAACATTTATAATTTTTTTTTCATAATATTTTCTTGAATTGTATTTAGTAACTTATGAAAAAAAGTCTAATCTGAATATCGTGAAAAAGTAAAAAAAATTCTATAAATTTTTTATGGAGCTTTTGTATGTTTCAATAGAGCTTTTAATGATGAGGGGTTATCCACTAATATTAGTTTGAATCATGTTATTTTAAAAATTTTATAACAAATGATCTACAACAATGGTACGGACAACAAACTATGATGGCAAAAGGAAAGAAAACTTGTGAAAAAAAAGATTCTTCATTAGGGAATAGTACTATATAATGCCGAAATCATTTTTAATAAATCTTGATTAAAAATAAGAAATAAAATTTATGGTAAACCCCTAACAATTTTCATCTTTTCACTACTTTGAAAATTGCTAGTAACATCAGAAATTTTCAAGATTCTTGAATCGAATTTTCTACATATGTTTCCAAATATGATGCAGAACAAAATTGTAAAAAAAAAAATTTGTAAGCTTTTTCCGTGAATGCGCAGTATAAAGGATTATTAGGAGAGCTTTTAATGATGAGGGGTTATCCACAAATTTCAGCTTGAATCATGTTATTTTAAAATTTTTATAACAAATGATCTACAACAATGGTACGGAGAACAAACTATGATGGCAAAAGGAAAGAAAACTTGTGAAAAAAAAGATTTTCCATTAGGGAATAGTATTATATAATGTCGAAATCATTTTTAGTAAATCTTGATTAATAATAAAAAATAAAATTTGTGGTAAACCCCTAACAATTTTCATCTTTTCACTACTTTGAAAATTGCTAGTAATATCAGAAATTTTCAAGATTCTTGAATCGAATTTTCTACATATGTTTCCAAATATGATCCAGAACAAAATTGTAAAAAAAAAAAATTTGTAAGCTTTTTCCGTGAATGCGCAGTATAAAGGATTATTGGGAGAGCTCTTAATGATGAGGGGTTATCCACATATTTTAGTTTGAATCATGTTATTCTAAAAATTTTATAACAAATGATCTACAACAATGGTACGGACAGCAAACTATGATGGCAAAAGGAAAGAATACTTGTGAAAAAAAAAAGATTCTTCATTAGGGAATAGTACTATATAATGCCGAAATCATTTTTAATAAATCTTGATTAATAATAAAAAATAAAATTTGCGGTAAACCCCTAACAATTTTCATCTTTTCACTACTTTGAAAATTGCTAGTAACTTCAGAAATTTTCAAGATTCTTGAATCGAATTTTCTACATATGTTTCCAAATATGATCCAGAACAAAATTGTAAAAAAAAAAATTTGTAAGCTTTTTCCGTGAATGCGCAGTATAAAGGATTATTAGAAGAGCTCTTAATGATGAGGGGTTATCCACAAACATTAGTTTGAATCATGTTATTTTAAAAATTTTATAACAAATGATCTACAACAATGGTACGGACAACAAACTATGATGGCAAAAGGAAAGAAAACTTGTGAAATGAAATATGTTTCTGAAATATGTGAAATGAAATAAGTATTTTCTAATGAAGTATGTTTTAAATTTCATTCGGGAATAGTGCTATATAATGCCAAAATCATTTTTAATGAATCTTAATTAACAATAAAAAATAAAATTTGTGGTAAACCCTTTACAATTTTCATCTCTTCACTACTACTTCGAAAATCGCTAGCAACTTTTTAAATTTCCGAGATTTTTAAATCGAATTTTCTTCATATGTTTTCAAATATGATCCAGAATAAAATTGCGAAATTTTTCCGTGAATGCGCAGTATAAAGGATTTCTTAAATCTTGCGGAATTTTTAAGGAATTATTTTCAAATTTTAAAATGCTATTGTTGTTTTTTTAATTGAAATTTCCTCTAAAAGTTTTATTTTATTTTATTGAACAATTCTAAAGTTATAACAAGAAAACGTAGGTCAAAAAAATTTTGTTTTCCAATAAAAATATTTACTAAATTTTGTCCAATAATTTCAATATAATAACCAATTGATATAAGTTAAAAGCTTATTATTATATGTTCTTTTAAGGGGTGTTCAAAAACACAATTTTTATTTTCGTAAGTTGTTTACGGTTCCTCAATCCTCTAAAAACTTTACACTATAATGTCACGTATGAGATATCGCTAGAGACAGACATTCCTACAGATATAAAGAGTTTTTTTAAGTATTTCTTGAGAAATATGAAAAAAATGAGCAAGTGTAGAAGTGTTCCCATAATTTTATTAAAACGAGCTAACAATAGAAATGTAAAAGACAGTAACAGGAAAATAATATCCATTTTAAAATTTCTTATTACTAAAATTTTTTTTTATTTTAGCTCCATTGGTAAAGAAATGGGTAAATAATTTAAAAATTGTAACATCTTATCCTCTAATTACCCCACTGTATTAACATAATTGCTTTTTTTATTCACCACTTTTTTTATTCAATAATTTAGTTTATTATTTTACAATTTTTTAACACTTTACTTTTTCGTTCTTCTTGAAGTGTAAAATTTAAATAGTTGGCTTGTTTAGCTAACAGAATTTTTTGAAGTGAGAAATGAACACGAAAAAGTGAAAGCTTATTTTTTTTATTTTATACGCATTAAATAGGCTTTTATTTGCTTAATCGGTTAACGCCCAGCATCATATATTTAGGACAGTTCCTTTTTTCAAAGACATTCATTGTGGTGGGAAACTTTTTTCAGTATTTTCATTTATCTGGGTGAATTATAAGATTCTCAGATACCACAATGATTTAGTTACTTCTGATTAGATCTAGAATTATAAGGAGCAAGTACTTTTTGATCTATCAATGACTTTTTGAATGCCCTAACAGTGGTAGTGGTGGTGGTGGTACTTATTCCTCTTGGCCATGGGTGAAAGCCCTTATATAGCAAGACGGAAAAGAGAAAAACCTGGTAAGTAAAACATTTCATTCTAGCATTTTTTTCGAAAAAAAATGAAATATCTGTAACTATCAAGATTTCTTTTATAATTCTGGCATATATATAAAACTGCTTCTTTCCCAAGGTAAAGTAGATATTGCTGAAAAATTTGAAAAAAGAATAAGTAAACTCCTCCCCAAAACTAGCTATAACTGAAATGGTTTTACTACCAGCCTTTCCTCTTTTCCGTCTCGCTTTCACCCCTGCTCTTGGCCCAGAACAAGGCTAGACCAAGTCCATGAGACCATGAAGGGAACGTCTTTTGACCCTGAACAAATGTTAGTCCGCGGGTATGACCAGTGATTAGTCTTGTGATAGCTGTCTGTAGTTTCCTATCACCTTTTAGCTCCAGGGCAGCCCCAGGATTATTTTGTTGATACCATTCACGACTAGGTGGAATCCTCCAAGTCCTATTATTGTCGGCCTTTACTTTTGCATAGATTTCATTGTATGTTAGAAGGCCACTACTATCTATGGGATCATTGGAGCCCTCCTTGGCCAGTTCTTTGGCCAGATCATTAAAGTGAAGGTTCACGTGGGAGGGGATCCACTGAAGATGTATATCATTGTGATAAGAGTAAGTCATCAAGTTGTCGATGATATTCAGGCCAATTCTGTCACTGATGCTTTGCCAATAACTCAGGTATTGAACTGAGCTATTAATATCCGTGAAAATCCAGATATTCTCTGTACTCTCAATGGAAATCATGTGTTCTAGAGCCGCGTTTATGTCGATTAGTTCTGATCTGAAAACTGAACAATGGTTTGGGTTACGCCTTTTAATTTTTGTAACGTCATCTTGGTTTTTTATGACAACACCGCTAGCAGTGTTGCCATTATCAAATTTACTTCCATCCGTGAAAATATGTACTGCTTCATTTGGGGTGTTGTGGATTGTCTCCAGTGCCAACTGTCTAAGAAGTGCTGGATGCTGATTTTTCTTACTACTGGAGGCCAAAAGTTCCTCGTGAAAGAAAACCCTCGGAAGGTCTTTCAGTGGGTCTATATTTGGTTCTATCGAGCAGTGTTCTATGTCAGGGAACAGCAGATTCAATTTACCTGCCCTGCAAAAGGGACTGTCTCTTTTTAATCTCTGGACATCTGTCCAATTCATGAAGTAGGTAGAAGTACGATGTTGGTCTCCATAGCTGTATAGCTTGCTGTAATATTTTGCGGTGCTAGAAGTCCATCTCATAAACAATGGTTGGAGATTAGCCTCGTATAGGACAATCTCATTAGGACAGCTATTACGTAAGCCTGTAATGATCCGTGCAGCACTCAGCTGTATCCTTTCAAGCATTTTTAAATTACCAACAGAAGCTGTCAGTAAAATCTGGAATCCATATTCCAGCATTGGTCTGATAAAGGAAGTGTAAGTTGTCCTTAGGGTATTGGCATCTGCTCCCCAGTCGCGGCCAGAAATATATTTCAAGATGTTAAGTCTCTTTCTTGCCCTCTCCACCTGATTGGCGATATGTCTGTTGCAGGTAATCTCGGGGTCAAGTGTAAAACCCAAGTATTTTGGATATTTTTCATACTTAAGAACATGACCATCTAGAACAATCTTAGGTAGGTAATTATAGAGACGTTTGTTTGTGGTAAAGAAACTCACTACCGATTTCTTTGGATTAAAGTTGAGTTTGTGAAGACCAGCAAAACGCTGTATTCCCTTTAATGAGTTATTTAGTTCTGATTCAATTGCATCTATGTTCCTGCCAGAACTCCAAATAATAATATCATCTGCAAATATACCAATTTCACAACCCTGTAAAATTTCCTTTTCAATACCGGCAATGAAGAGCGCAAAGAGAATCGGGCGCCCTAACAGTAGAAAAACCAATTAATTTCGATAATATACAATACCACTTTTTCCATAAAACCACTTTTTGTATCATTTCTATTTATAAATTCGGGACATTACGGGTTAATCGCTGATTCATATTTCGAAAGTTATAAAAGGAAACGTAAGTAAAAAAAAAAGTTTTCTAATAAAAATATTTACTAAATTTTGTTAAATTTAATAGCCAATTGATACAAGTTAAAAGCTTATTTTTATATTTTCTCGCAAAAGGTGTTTAAAAACGCTTTTTTTCTTTCGTCATTCATTTCCGCTCCTTCAATCCTCTACAAAATTTTTCACTATAATGTCACGTATGAGACACCGCGAGACCCAAACATTTCTACAGATATAAAAAGATTTTTTGAAGTATTTCTTGAGAAATATGAAAAAAATGAGCAAATATAGAAGTGTTCCCATAATTTTATTAAAACGAGCTAACAATAGAAATGTAAAAGACAGTAATAGGATAATAATATCCATTTTAAAATTCTTATTACTGAGAATTTTTTTTTATTTTAGCACCATTGGTAAGGTAAATAATTTAAGAATTGAAACAGCTTATCGTTCTATTACCCCACCGTATTAACGTAATTGCTTTTTTTTATTTACCACTTTTTTTATTCAATAATTTAATTTATTAGATAACAATTTTTCACAACCTATCTCGTCGTTCTTCTTAAAACGTAAAATTTAAATAGTTGGCTTATTTAGCTAACAGAATTTTTTGAAGTGAAAGCTTATTATTTTATTTGAAAAACACAGAATAGATTTTTAAGTCCTTAATCGCTGATTAAAATTATTTTCTTATAAGAAACAAGAAATAATAGAGAGAAAAAAACGATTTCCGGCAATTTAACAGTAATTACCTTTTTTTTTACTTATTAGGTATTATTCGTGGTTATAAGAAATTACATTAGATTTAATTAGTGGTTGCAGTTAGGAACAAAAATAGTTTAGTCATTTACAGGATTCGGAATTACTTCTTTATTACAGGGTTCCCACAACCTGGAAAAAAAGAAATGATTGGTCACCAAGATTTTTCGAAACTAAAGAAAAATGCTTAAATTTAGCTTTTATTTTAGAATTACGAAATTCTTACCAAGGTGAAATTTGCACTGGTATATATTTTCTTCAAATAAGAAATTTACTAGTTTCTTGAAATATCGAAATTTTTTTCCCTTTTCCTAATACTTTTAAAAATTTTCCTGAACGTGGAAACTGTATTACTATCTCTATACAAATTAACTTTATTTTTTAATCAAAGGTTTCGAAAGATTTTCCATAGCAAAACTGTAGCACATTTGAAATACACAACGCATAGCTTAATGTGCTTGCATAGCACAATTCGAAAGATCATACTAGAAGCTTAGAGAAATGATGCAATTTTTATTAATGCAAAATTGAAATCGACCCATAAGAAGGGAGGGAGCCCTGGTGGCTCAAGGAATTGCGCGTTCATGGGTGAAAGCCCTTATATAGCAAGACTAAAAAGAGAAAAACCTGGTACGTTAAACATTTCATTCCAGCATTTTTTTCGAAAAAAATGAAATATCTGTAACTATCAAGATTTCTTTTATAATTCTGGCATATATATAAAACTGCTTCGTTTCCAAGATAAAGTAGATATTGTTAAAAAATTTAAAAAAAGAATAAGTAAACTCCTCTCCAAAACTAGCTATAACTGAAATGGTTTTACTACCAGCCTTTCCCCTTTTCCGTCTCGCTTTCACCCCTGAGAGCGTTAGTCTTCCAGTAAGGGGAGCCGGGTTCGAATTTCAACAGAGGCTTGGTCTATACGAATTCGGCAACCTGCTCACACCGGGACACAGTACTGCCTTAAAATATTTTCATTGGTAGACGGATCATGGGTTAAATTCCCCTTCCCGTCATTCTAACTGGGGGAGGTTTTGATGGTCTGTATGTAACGCAAGTTCCATCAAGAAATCCAAATAAAGTCTGATTTATTATAATACTTCATTCAGGATTTCCCTTGTCTTCTGAATTGGTTTTAAAATTACAAGGCTATGGAATTGTCGTAAACCCAAAAATTAGATCAGCTGTTCAACGGCGGTTGCAAAAATAAAGAAGAAGTTGAAAACTTTTTTATGGCTTTAATACCAACAATATTGAGATCAATCTATAGAAATACGAGTTTAGGAAGTGCGCTTAATCTCGGCGTCTGACGCCAAAGGCGGTACTTACCGATTTACGGCGAACTTGAGTCGAAACATATGAAACGGATTTAAATAAAAGTGCTTAAAATTTCTTTGATCTAGCTAAAATGAGGCTAAACATTATAAATATCTATAAAAGCAAATAATTTTCGATCCAAAACCTGATCATCATTCTCGCAGAGCGGACAAAATATCACAGGCCTATCTTCAAAGCGACTGTGTCGCTAATCATCGTTGCCAAGCGTTTTCCAAGTGTCTTTTCTTACTCTAATGCAGCTAAGAGCGCGCACTTCGGGTCACTGGTATTCCCTGGATGCCTCCTTACGGTGGCGGGACAGGGCTAAACTGTGCTTAAATAAAAGTGCTAACTAATATGGGAAAGAAATAGGGGGTGGAGACATAGTGAGGTCGAAAATCTCGACGGTCAGGAAAACCGGACCATAAGAGTCGTTAATAAAAAGGCGTCCGAGTAGTCGGTATCATCAGGAATAAGCAAAATATAATAAGTAAAATCCGATAAGAAAAATAAACATGAATAGGAAAAACTGAACACTATATACAACAAGAAGCATAAGTAGAAAAAATGACAGGGTTCCCGCGGTCCTCGAAAGGTTTGTAATAGTAGTGATTTGTCGTAAATTTAGGTTAATGCTATAAGTTTTTCTAAATTTTATACACCACTTTATTGTTAAGCGGTTTAAAAAGTGAAAATTTTCATGCATATATAATTTCTTTAGAAAAAATTTTTTAGTGGTAGTTACACAGAAATTAAAATATCTATATTTCTTTTATATCCGTTGCTACTTTTTAAAATTTTCAAAACCTGAAATAAACAATCGTAAGGGGAAGTGAGGTACGTAAAGTCGACAAGCTATTTATAAAATAGAATTATTTACAATTAAATACAAAATTAGGACGATACGTAAAGTAAGATTCTAATTACGTAATCACTGGTGACGTGGAGACCCTTCTCTCCCGTGGCTTCAAGAAATGGTTCTTCCCTTGACGATATTAATAGTTATAAAATGTGGCAGGCTCATGTTTAGAATTAGTGGCAGTAGTAAATGAAGCTTAGACAAACAAGCATCGTCAGTAAGTAAGTCAGACATTGTAGTAGTGCTCTGGAGCTGGACCGCAATCCCATCAGTCATAAATTTGTTTTAAAGTTAGTTTCAGCACTGTGAGGTCAGCTGATTGTGTGGTTGCTGTAGGACTGCAATGTTTAAATTATTTGAGCTATGATAGCTTAGGCGATAGGGTGCTCGCCTCCCAATAACGTGAATCGGATTCGAATCCCAGCGATGACTGGCTGATACGAATTCCGCATCCGGCTTCCACCGACCACAGCGCTGAAGTGAAATATCCTCAGTGGACGACGGATCATGGGTTTGAGTGCCCTTGCCGTCTGCTTAACCATGGGTGGTTTTCTTCTCCATGTAACACAAACGTGGGTTAGTTCCATCAAAATGGCCTCCACGAAGGCAAATATCTCACAATACTTGATCCAGGAATTTCCTTGACTTCTGGATTGGGTTCAGAATTACTAGACTTTGGAGTTAAACATTAGTAGTCGTTATCCCAGGGTTGCGTAGACTGCTCAACGGCAGTTCTAGTCCTAGTGTTTTGAATTTATTGGGCACCTGGGCCGCAAAGCGGCCCCTATCCCATTCATCTGGAATTTTAGAACAGTTTTGGTTGAGCAATGAGGTAAGCAGGCAATGGAGTTGCTTTTATGAATGTTTCAAGCTCTTTGCTTAAACAGGGTTCCCACGGTCCTTGAGAATTTTAAAAAGTGGTAATAAAAATAAAAGAAATTTTGACATTTTTATTTCTGTGTAGCCACCACTAAAAGTTTTTTTCTAAAAATTATATATATGCACGAAAATTTCAGCACTTTACGATAAAAAAGTATATTAAAATAAATAAGTATATTGTAGCTCCACCCTAAATTTGCTACCACTTCTTAAATTTTTCAAGGACCGCGGGAACCCTGTTANTTATAATCTTCCCTTCTGCCATAGAGAGTTTATTTTTTAAGTGATCACTTAGAGTGTTAATGGCGGGGCAGGCATAAGTTAGAATTGGCCTAATTGCCATTAGATAGACAGTGCGCTTGCAATTTAAGTCTACAGATGACTTCGAGTTTAATATGGAGTTTAGGGCTCGCTCAACGGCAGTTATAAAATTAAAAAGTTAATATTAGAATGTTTTTTTAATTATAGTGGTACTTAAGAAGGAAAAAAAATGCTTTTGACTTTCTGTGCTCATTTGGCAGATATGCTAAGGTTCAAATGCTTAAACAATTTTATACAATAAGAGAATATGGCATTTGCGCTAATTTCGGTAGGGAATTACAAACTAAAATATTTACTGATTTTTCGGTTAATTTCGCCAACATTTAGAAAGGCTCAATATGTTCTAATTGTAACAAAGCTCTGGGTTCCCACTGTCCCTGAAAAGTTTTAGTACTAGTAGTAAATTTAAGTTAACGCTTTAAGATGCTTCTTATTTTAATACACTACTTTATAGTTCGGTGGTTTAACTCGTTTACGCCGGGGTGACCCACCGGTGGGTCACACTAGATTGTCTCATCGAGTGGCGCACCGGAGTAGAAACTAGTAAAATATAAATTTCATTTTTTAGCTTCTTTCCAGAAATAATAAAAATTCATAACTACCAATTGTTTTTAACGGATGCAATTTTTATATTGAATTGCTTCTTCGCCGTGAAAAATTTTCTTACAGTAAATTGTTATTGTTCAGAATAGTTTACTTCCTCCCGAATATTATCTAATATTGAAATAGTTCTTCTACCAGTATTTTCTCTTTTCCGTCCCGCTTTCAGGCGCAATACCCGGCGCGAACGTGTCAGTAGATTGAATTTTTATGCTTATATTCTTTCTTTGGAAAATAATTTTTAGTGGTGGCTACGCATAATCGACGATCGTCAAATATCGACATTTCTTTTAATTTAGTTACCACTTTTTAAAATTTTCAAGGTTTACGGCAACCCTAATAGTGGCGCATCACATAATTCTTGAATTGTTTAGTAGTGGTGGTGATTAAAAACCCTATAAATCGAAAATATTAACACGTTGAATGTTACGATAATTTTACATGGCTTTCCCGTTTGTCCAAACGGTATATAAAGAAATGCCAACTTGCTCCGTTTTGTAAAATAGTATATTATAGTGGTAGCGAAATTTAGGTTACTTTTAGTTTAGCATTTTTCATTTTAATAATTTTTTCACCTCTAAATATGAAAAATTATAAGTATCATACAAAATGTAACGATCAAGCATTAATCTACTAGTTACTCTGATAAAAAGTAGGCGTAACTATCCTTCTTCAACGAATTTTACTATATAATTTGTTACCATTAAACTATTCCAGTAAGCGGAGCAGTTGGCATCCCTGTGTATAACTACAGACTAAATTCGGCAGAATTTTGCTTGTTTTTTAAAAGAATTAGCTTGGTATCCTGATAAAAGTGGTGAATTACATAACCCTACGAATTGTTTAGAAATAATGGTAGATAAAACTCTACTCAATTGAATTTATTAAACCAAGAATCACAATTGATAAATTACCACTTGAAAATATTTCTCGCTGTCCGGAGCAAGATGGCATCTTTGTGTATATAAATGAAACTATTTTTGTGTGTTCTATATTGCATTAAATTCTTCAAACCATTTCAGAACCGATAAAATATAAAAAAAAATTAAAAATTTACTCGAATTATGTGTTTTTAATAATCTTGGCTTCGCCGGTCACCGGTGACCCCCGTGGCGTTGCGAACAAACTCAGTGACGATCACCGGTGACCCGCATGGCATTCAGCATGTTAAACCAATAGTCATACATTAAAGGACTACCATTCAAAAATATTTGTTCACTGTCCGGAGCTAGTTGACTTTTCTACAATAATTTCTAGTTTCATTAAATAAATTACGTGAAGTTGCCCCTGATTTGTTGCTTATTGACTATACTTAATTTATTTACGGTAATTAACGGTACTTAGTTATTTTAGATTCCAAATTTTCATGATTTCTTTCTGTGCTTCGACTGTGAACAAAAATTGACAGCGCTTACATAAAAAAAAAATAAAAATACTGAAAGAATTTTTAGTGTCAAATTCTCGAATGGTGTGTTTTATGTATTAGTCATAAAATGTCTTAAAGCAAAAACACAATTGAGTTTAATACGATCATCATACATGATTTGTTCACGTGTTTTTGAGTTCAGTTAATAACGTGGAAACATTCATTGTATCTCAAACAGTCATTAAAATGATAAGAATTTGGGAGGTAAAATATGATTTTTCTCTCTTTTTTTTTCTTATCGCAATAGGTATTATTTTATTCTTACAAAACACGTTTCTTCATTCTTTGATTATCAGATATTGCAAATAAAATATTTTCGGCTTTAAATATCTTCCAGGTTGATTAGATTCGGTCTTTTTTGGAGGTGTGACTTCATTCGAACCAATATGAAGGAAGTGAATATCAGCATGCCGGAGAAGCACGCGAATGAGGGTAAGCAGTAGCATTATTTTCGTTTTTAACAATTGATTTGAGATTGGTGGATGATGCAGGCAAGTGACATTTTCAGGGATATTTATTAATTAGAGAAAATAACATAAAGTGGTCGCACTAATATGGGTGTTCTTAATGTAACATAGTTGTTTCTGCTCAAATTATAACATAAATACTTTTACTTAAATTTTAACGTAACTAATCCGCATAAATTTTAAGTATGCTATCTATGCTTTAACCCCTTGGGGACGGGTGATTCAGAAAAGCATTCGTACAAAATCAGAATCAGGATTTAATTAAATAAAAAACGGTAACTTAAATGTAGTCGTTACTAATTTGACAGACTTACTTTGCTTTTACTTTAATTATTGTTAGTTTAACCATATATATATAATCAATGTTAGATCAAAGTATAACTAAATAGTTTTATTTTGAACAAAGTAATGGTGAATTAAATAAATCAAACAAATATAACTCCGCCCACAAATAAACTGCTAAAGAATTACTTTGATTACCAGTTTTATCTTTTTACCCTGATTGATACGTGTTTATGCTGTCACGTATTTGTAACTGTCGGCGCGAAAGGGTTAAGCATGCTTCATGATTTCTATTTCAAATTTGGCAGTGGTAAATAAAATAAGGTTAACAATTATTAGCTCTGTCTTTAAAAAAGTCTATGATAAAATAGTTGTCGTACCTTTTTTTCTAACCCTGATTATAGCCACTTTGAAAATTTCACTCACCTGGTTCATCTACTTATCTTTTCAATTATATTCCAGTTTAATTATTTGATTTTAACCCGTTTATTTTCGGCACAAAAATGGTCCATGTCTGAAAAACATATATGTAGTGTATATTTTTTATGATTCTGTTGCTTTAAAAAAGTATTTTGCTTATACAGATATAAATATCTATTATATAAATACCTATATAATCAATATTTAATGAAAAATAGAATTGCGTTATGTTTCACAGAAAGTACTAAAATTAAAACAATTTGTAACCATTTTTTCTAAGTTTTTGAAAAAAGCGAAATGTTATTTTCATTAAAATGCTGTGAGTCTGAGGCCTTACGAACCTTTTCTTATTAATCCTGAAATTAGACTAAGAAACATTAATGACAATAATCTTATACCGAAAATTAAAAATTAGTTAATGAAAACAAGTGGTTTTTAACACAACTACCAATAGAAATTGTTATTTGATATTCTCGTCAACGGTAGACATTCTAAAACCGTGTACATTATCTGAAAAAAATTTTGAAGAAATGATGGAGGTAGAAAAAACATAGGCTTCTTTTTTTTAAAAAAAAGGAAGAAAATAAAAATTATTAGCATTTCAAAATTAGCATAAAATTAAAAATTGAGTGTACTAGAATTTTTTTTAAAACTTCAAATTTGTATGGGTTTTCCCTCCAATTAATTTCGTTGCATGACTTTCGTTTTTCAAAAATAAACGCTAGAAAAATTATCGTAATATTTAAATACAACGTTTCAAACTCTGTGCGTGCGTTGTTTTCACGTGCCAGGATTAAAAAATATCAACTTGCGTTATTTCTCAAGTTTTTGTCTTTCTTTTATGACAAATTGTTAATTGTTTTTTAGTGCAATTTTCCTTTTTTCCTGTTTGCGTCTTACTAGACCTTAGAAATGACGCTTCTTTTTCTTAAAAAAAAATGCCAACAGTTGCATTTAACTATTAGAATTTTTGTTACACAAAAACTTGATTGTTTTCTGTGATATAGTAATAAATATATAGTAATAAATTTCCCTGATATAGTAATAAAATAATTTTTTACTTGTATTCGAATGCAAAGTAGTTTTTTTTTCTTCAAACATTCAAATAGTTCCAGGGTTTCCAACTGATCCGCTTTGCACAGAAGTTTTATAAAATTATTAGCGAATTAAACAGTTTGTAGAATCAGGATAATTAAGCCTACTTTTTAAAATAGTAACCGCAAAATTAAAGTTATCAAGATACATTTTATATGATACTTCGAATTTTCGATAAGTAAAAAAAAACGATTTACAATGATAAATGCTAAGCTAAAAATTACTCCAATTTCAATAAAAAAAACTTTATTTTACAAAGCGGAGCAATCTGGCATCCTCGTTGTTCTCCAATATTGGCAATTACACAGTTTTATATTTGTTAAGAGTGTATAATTAATTTTATAATTATTGTTCTTAAAGTCTCCTCTAAAAATCTTCTGCCCTCTACTGGAGTCATAATGAAAAAAGAGAAGAAAAAAGAACGAAAACGTAAAATAAATTTTATTTAAATGTTCAAATATCGTGACAATTTGACATAATTGTCCAAATAAAGCTGCCAATTTCGACGGTCGTTGAGGAGACTTTTTTACATCGGTATCAAATTCTGCACTTGGATTTTATAGATCTTTGATTCTTAGAATTTTTACCTGTAATAAATCGATAGTTCAGACGCATATACATGGGTAGACCTATTAGATAGGCACGTTTGATTTTAAGCATTAAGCTTAGTTTTCAGAAAATTCTTTCTGCAATAGTTATTACAGGAATGCCAACTGCTCCGGTTTCTGCAAAAGTTTTAATAAATTGGTTGAGGATTAAATAGTAAAACTCATAGATAAGAATAATTACGCCTACTCTTTATAAGCATCACATCGAGTTAACTTCAATAAAATTACATTTCACATGATAATTTTAAAAAATTACTTAAGAGGAAAAATACTAAACAAAAAGTATATTTTGCTACCTGTAGAAAATATTTTTTTCTTCTTCTGGAAACGAAACTGGTAATGGTAACAAAGTGGAGCACCCCCCAGGGGATGCGAGGCAGTCTGCCGCAAAAACCTCTTCCCTCTCTTAAATTTGTTTGTTTAATCTCGCTACTTTATTTTAATTTTCACTCAGTGAATGTTACTCAACCCAAACTTTCACCATGCAATTGCGCTTCGGCGATTTATTATTTATTCCCATTCAGACAAATTAGTTAGTGCCCCTGCACAAGAGTATGAGTAACAAAGAGGAGCAAGTTGGCATAAATGTTATTATTTTACAACCAGTTTGCAAATTTTTCTTAACCCCTTGGGGACGGGTGATTCAGAAAAGCATTCGTACAAAATCAGAATCAAGTTGTAATTAAATAAGAAAAGGTAACTTAAATGTAGTCGTTGCTAATTTGACAGACTTACTTTGCTTTTACTTTAATTATTGTTAGTTTAATCATATATATAATCAATGCTAATTCAAAGTATAACTAAATAGTTTTATTTTGAACAAAGTAATGGTGAATTAAATAAATCAAACAATTACAACTCCGACCACAAATGAAGTGCTAAAGAAATACTTTGATTACCAGTTTTATCTTTTTACCCTGATTGATACGGTTTTAAACTGGCACGTATTTGTGACAGTCGGCGCGAAAGGGTTAAAGACACTACAAGTTGGCAACTATGACAAAGAATATTTTTTATATTGTATAACCCTCGTCCAACGTGTTTGAAGTTCTTGATTTATTTGGGAGCCTTTAACTGTTAAAAATTGAAATAAAAATACTATTAATAAAATATTTAATAAATTAAAATAAAAACTTGCATATAAACGTAAAATATATCTTTATATTTTAAAGAAAATTACAAGAAAAAGCCAAAAACTGCAAATGTAAGAATTTATTTTTATTTCATATAAATATTAATTTTTTAATTAAATCTAATTAACGGATCGCACTTATAAAGAAACAGTTTGAACCACCGTTCGAATTTCTTTATTCGCTTAGAAACTTCATAAATTGTTATATTTTATAGAAAATAATAAAAGAAACTCAAAATCAAAACCTTGAATGTTATAAAATATTTTTATTTCAGATTATTATTATTATTATTTGATTATTAAATCCGATCAACGGTTTCACTCGTACAATAGAAAACCTCTTATAAACTTCTGGAGAAGGTATGAAGATAAAAGTAAAACAAAGGAAATAATTATGACTTATTACATATTTGCGATTCCTATATTCTTGCTGAGTCAGAGTTTGTATCAACAGGTGCGCAGCAATAATAGAACCCTTACATTTCACTCTTTCTCTTTTGCTTTTTATTTTCTGCACCTGTTTAATGTTTTCTCTTAATAGATGAAAACAGGTGCCCCGCAGTCTGCTATACTAATCTGCAACATTTACCTTAAACATTTTCTAAAAATATTTGCCTAAAAATGCGAAGAGGGTTGAAACAATTTAAAATTGAAGAAATGACAGTATTTCATAATTATTATGGTACCACAAATGGATCAAAACTCTATGAAGATGATGAGTTCTCATCTAATTTAAGTAAGATAGTTTTTTTTTCATTAAGGTGAAATCACTAGAATGCTTTTTAGGTATTTTTCGGTGATTTGAAATTTTTAAAAATGTTGTAGATGCCTTAGAAAGGTCAACAAACTGTGAAAAGTTCTGTTTTATCAAAATAATGCATTTCGATGTTATTTTTTTTTATAAAGCAGGTACTCTAAAGAATGTTTGGGCTAGTTCAAACATAGCAGACTATCTTTTGAAAATAAAAAATTTACTTTCATCAGAAAAATTTAAAATTTTAATCTTTTCGGTACGGTAGCCTGTACTGGGGCACTGTACTGTAATGGGGCACAGTGCTGCAAAGTATGCTCGCTGCATGCCGGTAATCTGATGCTTGGATTTTTTTATTTAAGAGTTATAGAACCATGAACAGATGGGAAAATAATATGGAGACTTCGATACTTTGTGTTATCAATTATTTTTAGAAGCAAATGTTTTGGATGATTATGATGGCAAAACTGTTAGCACAATTTGATAGATCATGTTTAAAGATATTAGAAATGGCATTAATAATAGCATAAATGTAATAAATAACATAAAGATATTAGTCATTTTTATTCATGTAAAATTTGACCAACATGAGAAAAGGAAGATAATAGCATTTTTTTAGCTTTGATATTCGCTACTAGAAATAATAGAGCCGGGGTGTCTAAGGGTCGTTCGCCTTCCAATGAGGAGAACGCGGTTCGAATCCCAGTAATGGCTGGTCTATACGAATTCCGCATAGGCTCGCACCTACCACAGTGCTGACGTAAAAAATATCCTCAGTGGTGGACGGTTCGTGGGTTAGAGTCTTCTTGCCGTCAGGCTAACGGTGGGATATTTTCATGGTTTTTCTAGCCATGTAGCGCATATACTGGTTAGATCCATCAAAACGTCATCTACGAAGGCAAGTTTCTCCCAATACTTGATCCAGGAGTTCACTTGTCTTCAGGATTGGGCTCAAAATAGCAAGATTACGGAGTTGAACATTAGTAGTCGTAAACCCAAAAATCGAGTCGGCTGTTCAGCGACAGTTATAAGATAAAATAAAATTCCTGAACATTGGTGGAATCTTGGGCACAAATTCAATTTCAACAAAGCATAAATTCAATTGCACTGCAGTCACAGCTCATCGTAATGATCTGAAATCTTGTTTTATTTATATGAATGCTGATTCCCTTGTTAACGACATTGTTCTGTTTTTCATCTCCTCCTCTCCATGTTAAGCAAATGTGGGTTGGCTCCATCAAAAAAGTAGTCCTCCATGAGTGCATAGTTATACAAATAGTAACAACAGTTTTAGAATGTTAGATCTTCCGAAACATTTGTTGCTTAAAGAAAAATGGTTTACATGCAATTAGATTTTGTCACTCGTCTAATGTTATGTTTTATTTATATTTTAGAGCCGAAAACATGCTACTTTCCAAGACGGTATGTGCTGGTCATACTTGGTTTCATTGGTATGTTCAATGTGTATGCGATGCGAGTAAACCTCAGTGTAGCAATGGTAGCCATGGTCAATCAAACAACAGATAAAAACAGTTCAATACACCAAATAACTGAATGTCCGAATCTCTTACCCAACGAGCCACAGAACAAAACTATATTTAAAGTAAGTTGAACTCGTTTTTACTATTTATTTCTTGTAATTGAAAATATTGTTTAATAGTTTATTCTACGTGCTCTCTGCAGAACAATTCTTCAGTGATAAAATGTTAGAAAAATAATTAAAAATTTTGTTCATTATAAGTACTAAATGTTACTCTTTCCGTACATGATTTTTACATGCAGAATTGCCAACCACTACGCCTTTGCAAGATGTTTTAACGCGTTGAATGCCACGCTAATTTTACATGGCTTGTCCGGTAATAATTACAAACCAAATTTGCAAATATTAGACAGCTTTTGCTAGTTTTTTAAAAGAGCATAATATATATGAGTGATTGATTGAATGTTGGGTTTAATGGCAAAAGTCCATGATATATATCCTCACCAAATTTTATCCGTCTTGAAATGTTGTCTTTAAGGTCGCTCTTTCTGGTAATTGGAATGCAAATTGGAGTGAAAGCCATGATATATATACATACCCTCCAACTTATGAAGATTTTGAAAATAATTCTTTCTAGTGGTAGCGAGAAAAAGTAGAAATTTTTAAAGCAAATGAATCTCTCATAAAACTTTTATCAGAACTTAAGAATCTAGCCATATGGCCTGCACTTTTATAAGTAATAGTGGACAAGTTACGCTAAAATTAATTTTTTTTAAATATTAAGACATTAATTTTGCTACCGTCTGAAAAGAAGATTTCTGAAACTACGGAAATTCCGTAGCAGTTGGAGGGTATGTATGATGTATGTTTTATGGTAGACAAAAATTGTTTGTTTCTGGAAAGTTATTCCTAAAAATGAAATCTTGTGACACCTTTTCTCCTTTGATAAAAAAAGACCGATTTTCTTAATAGAAATCGTGCTTAGGAATAGGTTAATGCACAACTTTGTCTAGCACTGCATAAAAGTTTGACGTTACTGCTGCATGTTTTATTAGGAATCTAATTTATTTAATCGCAAGAGATTCTCTTGCTTACTTGTTTTCTATCCAATGGGAATTTTCCTGATTAATTCACGAAATCGAAGTAAAAGTATATATAATAATATTCTGTCGAATAAAGTGGTACAACTTGGAAAAAGAAAATAATGAATCTATAACTTTTTTAAGTATTAGTCGGACTTTTGTTCAGTAATATTTCGAACTTAAATTTTTTAATGTGCGNAAGATAAAACTGGTAATCAAAGTATTTCTTTAGCAGTTTATTTGTGGGCGGAGTTATAATTTTTTGATTTATTTAATTCACCATTACTTTGTTCAAAATAAAACTATTTAGTTATACTTTGAATTAACATTGATTATATATATGATTAAACTAACAATAATTAAAATAAAAGCAAAGTAAGTCTGTCAAATTAGTAACGACTACATTTAAGTTACCGTTTTTTATTTAATTGCAACTTGATTCTGATTTTGTACGAATGCTTTTCTGAATCACCCGTCCCCAAGGGGTTAAGAAATAACTATAAATCAAATTTGCAAAAAAAACTTATGTTTTGGAGAATGAAATTAATTAAACTTTTATTATTCCGTCGACAAATAAATCGCTGAAGAGATAGTTTAGTTACCTATTTCATCTTCTTTTGGTAGTGAAAACACAATAATTTATTTTTTTGAAATCGTCAAAACGCGAGTGTTAGGTCTTAAATATTTGTATTAAATGTTAAGATAAAGTGACAAGTGTTGCTGAAATGTTTAAGGTATCTGAGTAGTTTCGACAACTTTTTTTAAAAATATTAATATAAAATTTAAAAACAAATCCAATTTATTTGCTTATGAAATTAATAACCTATGAAAATTCTGAACTTATGAACATTCATCATAATAACTTATGAAACTAACTTATGAAACTAGCATAAAAATTATTATTATAATTATTTTATATTTATATGGCCATTTTTAAATAAAAAAAAGAGGCATTTTTTGCATAAACGCAGTAAAATAAATATTAAATCCCAAAATAAAAAAGTCTTTTAGGATTTTATTAAGAAGGCTATCAACTATGTTTTGAACTATCATCTTAAAAGCAAGTTCATATACTATTCCTGAGTAAGGTATCAGTGTTGTTTCAAAAGCAAAATTTAACAATTTCCGCACTTGTCTTTGAGGAAAAAACAACGCATGAAAAATGACATTTTACCTTTTTTCTCTTAGTCTGTAGTTCAAAACATGTGCGCTATGATCATAAACACTCTTGAAAAAACGTAGACAATTACTTCAAAAACAAAATAATGAGATATCGTGTTTAAAATGCTGTGAAATATATCTGATTTTGAGATAAACGCAATTAAAGACATAAAATCATTAGCTTATCCACTGTTATCACCTTGCACAAAAACTGCTATGATTTTGTAAATAATTGGAGAACTAACAAAAGTAAAGTATTTTTAGAAAGGTAAGAGAACAGGAATTCTAAATTAATAATGAACTCTATTTCACGAATTTTGCTCAAAATAATATTTTTGAACTAGTCACGAACCTTAAATTAAGGTAAAGAAAGTCTGAATCAAATTTATTAGTATCATATTTATTAATCTTAAAATGTAAATTATAAAGTAAAACCAGTATTAACAGGAAAAGAATTTATTAATTTTTATGCCTAAGAGGGCAAAAACATTATAAGAAAAAAATTCACATATAATATTGCATAACATATAATTTATCATGATTTCTTAAAAATAAAATAAAATATTTTCTTTTTGTCCAAAACAATAAGCCATTTCAGAAGAAACATTCTTTGTCACTTTTTACAATTTATTTGAAATTTTGACTTCTAATAAATATGTTGCAAATAAGATTTCACATCTTTCGTACAACAATCGAAAATAAAAAAATATCCCCTCATATTTTAAAAACAAATTCTGATGTTTCATGGCATGGATTTAAAACAAATTATATAATAAATCAATCGTGAAATTCATAAAGCGCATAAAGATCAAACAATAGTTTTTTTATGAATGTCAAAGAAAAATGTCCAAGTTAACTTATTTCAAAGCGTTTAGATATTTTTAAGACGGACTTTTAAATCAAAAACGATGTTAAGTGAATGTTTATGTAATCAGCAATAACTTTCACTCACGATATTTATCGATGTCAAACTTTATTGGAATCGATAAAAAACTTTTTGGTGAATCAATCTTGTGGTGATAAAAACAAAAGTATACGAAATATACAATATTTAGGAAGAATTTTTGAAATTTCGTTGAATATATTAATTTTTAATTGTTCAGTCCTTTATTGATACACACATTTAAGTATCTCATGTTATCATCGAAATGTTAATAAATTACAATCTTAATTATCATTCAATTTTTTAATAAGCGCTTTCGTTAATTGTAAAAATACTAGGCAGTTTAGTACTTTACAAACTTTCCAGTTTTAAATATTATTTATTTTCATCAAGTTGCCTATACATTGATAGGAGTCGCGGTGGCTCAGGAGATAGAGCACTCGCCTCCCAATGAGGCGCCCCTGGTTCGAATCCCAGCTATGGCAGGTTCATACGAATTCCTCTCCTGGCTCGCATCTCCCACAATGCTGACGTTAAGTATCCTTAGTTGGGTTAGAGTCCTCTTACAGTCAGCCCTACCGTGGAAGGGTTTCGTGGGTTTCTTCTGAACGCAAATGTGGGTTAGTTCCATCAAAAATACAAGAATTCCCTTGTCTTCTGGATCCGGTAATCGCAAACTCAAAATTGGGTCGGCTGTTGAACGACGGTTATAAAATATATATTGAGAGTGGTACAAGCGGTAAGTGAAAAAAAAATAATAATTAAATAAATAAAAATTCCATCCACTTTGTTTTGGACTAACAAAGTATTTAATTTTTAGCCCGTTTGGAGTTATAGGACAAAAAATATTACATAAATTGCTTACATGTCCGTGGCAATAATATTATTTTTTAGCGTTTAAATATACATAGCTGCCACCTTTTCCGGTTTTCCCAGATATTTTTTTTTTCATATATAAAGTGGTAGCGATACTGATGTTACTCTATTAAACTTTTTTAATATAATGATAATTATAAAGGACTTTGAACAACTACTACATATAAATAGTTACATCAAATATATAACAGCGTAGTAATGTTACGACAGTGAATTTCAAACTGGTCAAAATATAAGTATATTTTTGAGTAAGATTGTTTTTCAGTAGTTGCTTTACTACCACTTGGAAAATCCATTTAGAAAAGACTGAAAGTTGGCAGGTATGAAAAGTATGTGATTATTATATTAAGAGTTAAACTATATACTTGCTCAATTGTAACTTCATTACCACTATAAGTATCGTAGACATTAAGTGAAACTGCAAATAGATATGCCATTTATAATCAATAATACGACTAATTTCTTCTTTTTTCTATCATTAATAAAAATTTAACAAATAATTAGGGCTTGTTTGATTTTATAACAATACATTCAATTAACTGAAAAATTATTAGTATTTATTGCGATAATACAACTAGTTTTACCGCCTTTAGTTTCAGTTTCCACTTGAATATGATATCATTATGTTGAAAGGACCTATTATACTAATTGTTGACGTATAAACATGAGTTATCGATAATGCGTCAAAATTGTTTTAAAAAATGGAAATATTTCTTAAGAATTATACAATTTCTAAACAATCGATTTGAGATAGCTTTGTTTTGTTTAGGAGAATGTGTAAAAGATATCAAAAAGTGAAACTGCTTTGATTTCGTTTTATAAGATTGTATAGATATCTCTTCTTGATAACGTTGTTGAGAAATATTGATAGATTATTTGACTCTTGCATTATTCGGAGATTGTAATATTTCTCCGAATGAAAAAAACCCATCATATTTGCAATTTTGAGACGATTAGAATATAAAAATGACGTGTTCGGAAGTATTAGTAATAAATATTATCAGAATTTTAGAGTAACAAAAAGTAAGAAAACAAAGAGAAGGCTTCCTCCCTTGCTTGCTGACGATATACAATCTCATTTAAAACTCTTGCTAAGGCTTTTCAAGTCCTTTTTTTGCATAAAACTTGATTATTTCATGCGCAAATGAATAAATATATAATAAGATAAATAAATAAATAAATAAAAGAAGTAAATAAACAAAATAAACAATTAAATAAAATAAATAAATAAATAAAATAAATAAATAAATTAAATAAATAAATTAAATAAATAAATAAATAAATAAATAAATAAATAAATAAATAAATAAATAAATGAATAAAACAAATAATTACGTAAGAGCGATGTGACACAGCAACATTAAGTGTCATATTTTATCATTTTCACGTCTTCTTCCTGTTTTTTCACAAGGAATCTAAATGTATATAATACGGGCTGTTATACTCTGTGCATAACTAATTTAACTATTGTTTTTTATGCCAATACCAGCAAGCATACTTGGTAAATAAAGCGAATTTGTAAGACAGAGCCTCATGGAATACAACTTCAGCCTCATACACGTTACAGCCCGTTTTACCGGAAGACCCAGTCACACTCCTTTCATTCATCCACATATTGCAATTTTGATCTGAACCAGAGAACGATCAATCTCCGATTCCCTATCCCCAGAGGTACTGGTTTGTTATGGGAACTTGAGGGACTCAGTGACCCCGACTAATTTAACTTTCACCAGTCCCCATTTAATGCACAGGAACTCTTCGGCCGGAGGGATTCAAACTCGCGTTCTCCCAGACACGAGCTCAAAGTCCTACCAACCAGGCTATCTTGGTCCATTTTAACCAGAACACCAAGTTACTGAATGGGTACTAAAATAATTTTTCATAATTATCATTTCTCTTTTCTCATGGGAGGGTGGTGTTTTCTAAGATATTCAATATGTTTTCATTATTTCTGCCCTAATCAATATTGTAATTTGCACCCCAAAACATATTGAGTTATAAATAAACTAATTTTTTTCCCCTCTCGTTAAATAATATATTTTTAACTACGAAAGCATAGTTAGAATGGTTCGGTCAATCTTTTGTTTCATGCGTTTTGAAAATGCAACTTTAATAAATTTTTATTTTTCCCGATACATCCTCAACAAATTGCTTCAACATTTTTTAATTGCATAATCCATAGATTTATAATTGCGTTATTCATAATCTATAGATTTATAATTGAGTAATCCGAAATCCATAGATTTATAATTCCGTTATTCATAAATTAAAGACTTGTGATTGCGTAATCTATAATCCACGGATTTATAATTCCGTTATTCATAAATTAAAGATTTGTGATTGCGTAATCCAAAATCCATAGATTTATAATTCCGTTATTCATAAATTAAAGATTTGGGATTGCGTAATCCAAAATCCACAGATTTATAATTCCGTTATTCATAAATTAAAGATTTGTGATTGCGTAATCCAAAATTCATAGATTTATAATTCCGTTATTCATAAATTAAAGATTTGTGATTGCGTAATCCAAAATCCACAGATTTATAATTCCGTTATTCATAAATTAAAGACTTGTGATTGCGTAATCTGTAATCCATAGATTTATAATTCCGTTATTCATAAATTAAAGATTTGTGATTGCGTAATCCAAAATCCATAGATTTATAATTCCGTTCTTCATAAATTAAAGATTTGTGATTGCGTAATCCATAATCCATAGATTTATAATTATGTAATCCATAATCCACAGATGCCTCGTGTATTTGAAATGGTAAACGAAGAAAAATTATGGATAAAATTTTTTTAGGGGAGTCCAAATTTTTGTGTTGACACATATGACTGTTGTTTTCAAATTTTTTATGTGAGGTTATATTGCAAACCACTTGTTAAAAATAATACAGAAATTTTCATATATCACCACTTAATTTCAGTAATGAGGATTATTAATTAACGAAGAAACCAGTTTTTAGTTTTTATGCATCTACCAACTTATAAAATTTTTTACACAAAGAGGAGCAGATGTCAGTACAATTAACGGTTTTTGTTTTTGTTGTCATCTATAGTCATTATTGCACATGTATGAGGTCATTTTTAGAGCAACTCTTTCCTAAATTTCTCTAAAAAAAACATAAAATAAACATATTGCAAAAAACATTTACGTCATATATTAAAAGTGAAAAAACTGCATAATATTGTGAATTTCCGTCATAAGATTTTTCGAAGATTGTTTGGAACATTCCATATAAATTGCACAGAAATTAACAGAAACGCAAAAAGCAAACCTTTTTTCCCACTCATTATCGCTTTTATTAGCAAAAGAAAATCACAGATTATAGCTATCAAAAAATATTCAAGAAGTCTCATTTTTCTTCCAACCACACGGAGTGACAAGCTGAAACCCACTATTACGATTTCATTTTATTTTATAACCGTCGTTGCAAAGTGACCAGTCGCATACATGCCAACTCTTCAGGAAGATTTTATTTTCATATTTAAAGTGGTAGCAATACTCAGGTTATTCCAATTAACTTTTTGAATTATAATGATAATTATAAATGAGTTTGACCACCACTACATATAAATAATTACAATAAATATAAGACAGCATAATAATCCCTGCCCCAGCGAATTTCAACGTGATCAAAATATAAATATATTTTTGTATCAGATTGTTTTTCGTTTATTGTTTTACAGCCACTCTGAAAATCCATTCTCGGAAAGAGTGAAAGTTGGCAGGTATGCAGCCGTCATTGGGATTAGAACCCGGTTCACCTCTTTGGCAGGCGAATGCTGTATCCCCTGCCATGGGTGAAAGCCCTTATATAGCAAGACGGAAAAGAGAAAACCTGGTACTTAAAACATTTCATTCCAGCATTTTTTTTCGAAAAAAATGAAATATCTGTAACTATCAAGATTTCTTTTATAATTCTGGCATATATATAAAACTGCTTCTTTTTCAAGATAAAGTAGATATTGCTGAAAAATTTAAAAAAAGAATAAGTAAACTCCTCCCCAAAACTAGCCATAACTGAAATGGTTTTACTACCAGCTCTTTTCCGTCTCGCTTTCACCCCTGTCCCCTGAGCCACAACGGCTCCCGCTTTAATGACTGGGAGATATGATTTCTTTTTGACAGCTACGTTCCTTATTACGCAATAGTAGTCAAGAAAGCTGTCTGCAACTAGCAATATTCACCTGTTTTGAGTACAAATATTTCTTCACTTTTATTGTTATGATTAAAATTTCCATCATCATGAATGTAATTTCCATCATCATAATGAATGGAATTTCCATCATCATGCCCTCAACGAATGTAAAGAGAAATCTAGTTTCCATGACAACGGTGGCGTTAAACGTTTAACGCAACCTTGTTGCAAGTCGCATTAGAAGTTACACTTCAAAATATTTTTCCGTTTCAACTATTCTGATAAAGCTTGCTAACCATTTTAAATATTCTAGAAATTGATCCCTTCAGAACGAGAGTAGTTGGCATGCATGTTAATAAAACATTTATTTTCTGACTTCAGATATTTAGTTGAATTGAAAACAACTTTATTTTTATATAAATTGTATGGAACCATATTGTTATAGCACGAGAGTAAGAATTTGCTGCATTGCCACATACATTGAGTAATATTCTTTTCCCAACGAAATCGCAAACGACGCGTTATTTTAAATGTAATTTGACGGTGACTGCGTTCTTCTTAACACTTTTATGAAGCTTAACCCATTGGAATCATTTGACGTTAAGACACGTCATGCATGCTTTGCCAATAAATAAAACGTGCTGGTCAATATGTTGTTATTTGTCTATTTCGGAAAGAAATAATGCTTTTTATATCATCAAATCGTATAAATGGCAATGTATTTAATGTAGGTACCAAATTAGATTTGGTAACTAATCAACCGAAATAAATTCTGCAATTTTTAGTCCGAATCTTGTCACCAGTTTAAAATTTGGCTGCCTCCTCGTAGTTTGGTATTTATTTCTACCACCATAACTTTTGAAAAAGAATGTATTTCATTAAATGATGTTTCGTCATATTGCGTATATTAAGTCAAAAATTGATAACGTGCTCCGATTTGCTAAGTGAAATTTTTAGTGGTATTGAATTTAAGGTTAATTCTAGTTAGGTACTTATCATTTTAAGTAATTATTCCACCTCTACGTAAAAGAAATTAAAAGTAATATGTAAAAAGCAATCTGTTATGGCATTTTAAAAGGCGTGAGAAATCTTAAACTACAAATTTATCATTCTTTTGACAGAAAGCGGAACAATTCGCATACCTGCATTAGTCTATTATATAATGCACTAATGTAATAGTATTTTGCGAGGCTTAGTGGCACTTTCCTCTAAAAATATTTGTCTGTGCGCAACGGAGGTTTAAAATCGAAAAAATAAGTAGGAATAATAAACATAAATAAGAACTATTATATTTTGAGAGAAGGGTCATTGAAAAGTTCGATACTTTTGTTTTGATCTCATAGATAAAATCTGATATGATTTTAGGGAGACCAATACAATTGGGATACTACAGCTCAAGGCCATATTTTGGGATCTTTCTTTTATGGCTACATTGCAACTCAACTGCCTGGCGGAATCCTTTCAGAAAAATTTGGTGCCAAGTGGCTGTTTGGTGGCGGTGTCCTGGTCACAGCTGTTCTTTCCCTCCTGACACCAGTGGCGGCAAGTTGGGGGACTGCTGCTTTCATTGTCGTCCGAGTTCTTGAAGGACTTGGAGAGGTAAGTGCATTTGTTAGGTTTTTTTCTTTCTCTATTTTACAAGCATAGGCAGTATTTAAAACTGACTAGAAAATTATCACCTTATGCAATATGTATAGGTTGAAACAAAAAAATAAGAAAAAACCTATGAGAAACTGGTTAAAGTTGAAAACTACTACTAGTCGGCAAAAACCTAAAAATAATCTAACGGGTATTTATAATCGGTTAACTCATTCCTGAATAGCGAACTTCGGTTGAAAGTTTCAGTCAGTGAAATATATTAGCCAATACACGACCTCTGACTGTACAGTTCATAGTCATAGTCATATTATTGCTCAAGGCTTTTAGGCCCCACAGGGGCCTTTTACCTTTTCATCTTGATTTGTGAAGGCATGAAGTTCATCACGAGTTTTGAAAACAGAACGAAAAATAATCATGATATAGAAAAAAGAAAATATCACTTTGAACTATTTACTGCAGATGCAACACCATTGGCAGAATCGTAGCACCAATAAGAAATCAGAGTTACGAACAGCTAGGGAAAAGACTGAAGCTCCAATCGTTTGCAGTGTTGTATCAATAAAAGATTAAAAACAGTGAAAAATTAATTGAATTTCTCTAATAAATTAGCATTGCTACTGAAAAAGTGGGCCAGGGGTCGGATATTAGATATAGTATAGTTCAAACAGAATTGATATATTTTAGCTCACTGTTGTTCATAGAATAGAGATTGATAAAATTTTAAAAGCAATTATTTTGACGTTTTTTATAGTTTGTAACTTAGGTTGAGTTCGTGTTGCCAGTACTCTGCTCTGGTGCAGGTTGAAATCCGAAACCAATATGCCATTGGCTTCAATTATCATTAACCAGGTCCTTAACTTTGAAAAAAAAAAGAAACATCGATGTAAGGATTACCAGGCTAGTGTATGCTGGAAGGTGTCTATTAACCTTAGAAATTCATCAATCTTGGAAAAACTAGGAGCAGAACCCTTATGTTATCGTGTGAGAACCCTTATCGTGTTTTTCTGTGTTGTACCACTAATCTTAGGATTTTGTTTTCACTTATTAAGGAACTGCATCATCCATACTCTGATTCGTTCAAATTCATTCACGATTCATTAATTCTCTTCCTTGTTTCTTCCTTTATCCTTTCTGAATTTTCTTCTATACGACAATTTTTTGATTTTGGTGATGCCTCTTTAGTTAATTCAGAGATGCCAACTTCCTCCGCTTTGTAAAATAGTATTTTCTAGTGGTAGCGAAATTTAAGTTACTTTTATTTTAGTATTTTTCATTTTAAGTAATGTTTTCACCACTAAATATCAAAAATTATAAGAATGATATTAAATACAACGTTAAAGTGTCAATCTACTGGTTACTATAGTAAATAGTAGGCGTAACTATCTTTCTTTAACGAATTTTACTATATAATTTGCTGCCACTTTATAAAAACTATTCCAAAAAGCGGAGCAGTTGGCATCCCTGTTAATTACATGAACAAAAAAGAAAAGAAGAAGAAAAACACGAGCATTCGAGAGAAAAATGACCAAAAAGCTTCATTGCAATGCTTTTGACTAAAAGTTAATGATTCTTAAACTAATTCTCGGGTATTAGATTTTTTATTATCAGAAACTTTTTCAAAATGAAATGTTTTGAATATCACTGATCAAATAGTAAGTGCTTATTCTTGAGTGTTTATTTATTTATATCAGTATTTTGAATGTTAATTTTATTGCATGATACCGATAATTCAGATAAAGCTGAAAATAAGCCTTGTTCTGTTTTAAAATACGTAAATCTAACCTTAGACTGAATTCTGATATCATTACTTTGCCACTGAAACAAACAATTTGCGTCTTATCATTTACGGATTGATAACTTAAAAAAATTCTAGATTTGTCTAAATCAGGCAATAAACGAAAATAAAACCTTTTTTGATCTTTTTTTATGTCACTTAAATCACTGTCTGTGCTGATAGGCGTTGGATATAAAAATTCTTCTCTTGCTTTAATGATTTGTTTTTCATTCTTTATCGAGCCTTTGGAAAAAAAGAGGACACAATAACTTCACGACAATAACTCCATGGCGCTCTCTTTTTCTGAAAAGTCAAAGAATATTTTAAATAATTTTGAGCAGAAATTATATTGATTTCCAGAACGACCTCATGGGTAAATGTTTAACAAATAGTTGAAGGTAACGAATTTGACATTTTTGTTAACTTATTTATTTGTACAGCGCGCAAAATAAAAAACGGTGCACACTGAATAACCGTTGACCTAGTGATCGGATCCCTAATTTAATGATTTATACCTGCCAACTCTTCCGGATTTTCCGGAAGATTTTATTTTCATATTTAAAGTGGTAGCAATACTCAGGTTATTCCAATTAACTTTTTGAATTATAATGATAATTATAAATGAGTTTGACCACCACTACATATAAATAATTACAATAAANGTCTGTGCTGATATGTGTTGGATATAAAAATTCTTCTCTTGCTTTAATGATTTGTTTTTCATTCTTTATCGTATCTTTCGAGAAAAAAAAGAGGACACAATGGCGATCTCTTCTTCTGAAAAATCAAAGAATTTTTAAAATAGTTTTGCGCAGAAATTCGATTGATTTCTAGAACGACCTCATGGGTAAATGTTTAACAAATAATTGAAGGTAACGAATTTGACATTTTTGTTGGTTTATTTAGTTGTACAGCGCGCAAAATAAAAAACGGAACACCCTGAATAAATGTTGATCTAGTGATCGGATCTCTAATTTAATGGTTTAAAGGAGTGACTTTCAAGCATTTTCGAGTGGTAGTTTGTTAATTGTGTTTCTTGGTTTAATAAATTCAATTTAGTAGATTTTTATCCACCACTATTTCTAAATAATTCCTATGCTTATATAATTCACCACTCGCTCTTTTTTATTGTCGTGTCATGTTAATGTTATAGCAAAACCTTTCAAAAAGCAAGCAAAATTAGTCAAATGTTTGTTAATTATAGTTTGTCGTTATTGACCGTTTTTTGAATTATATCGACGTTTCCGGAGCAGTTGGTATTTTTGAAGAAGTGAAATCAGGTTCAAACGTTCGATCGCTCACCTGACCAAACAACTGGGACGACATTTACCACAGATTGCGATTTCCCCCCAATATTTTTAGGGTCATGTTTGTTCAGAGAAAGTAAGTTTTTGTGCCTGATTTTGAAACTTAAAATCCCATAGCTTATCCTCCAGCTTTCGAAGAACGTGCCCTCGATTCTCATTGGTTGTGGTCTTAGCTGGCATAGAAAAAATCCTGGTAGTTTAACCGTATGAGAGGAAAACAATCCGTTGATATTTTTCTCACAGTTAACAGTTAGAATACCATCTTTTTTAATGATAATTTGACAGATTTAGTTGAATAGGATAAAATAACAATTAAATATATAGTTATTTAATCTAATACCGAGAAACTTTTAATAGCACACACGCCTGTTTCTTTTTTATTTATTCTTATTTTGTATAAATGCTGTTGATAATCATTGAACTTACGTAGTCTATAAAGTATGAAAATTTTAGGGTGTGACATTTCCAGCCATCAATTTCGCCATCAGCACTTGGGCACCAAAGATAGAGAGGAGCAGACTCTCCACATTAATATTTACCGGAAACCAATTTGGAAATGTCGTCTCCATGTCCATTTCTGGTGTTCTCTGCAGCACAGATTTTCTGGGTGGATGGCCTTCATGCTTCTATGTTTTTGGTGAGTACTCTGTTTGATATTTGTAAAAGAAAACAAAAACATTTCCTAAAGTGTAAAACATTTATAGAATATTACATTCAGCTTACATATTTTTAATACTGAATTAAAGGTATCGTCTTTCATTTAAAAAAAGTTGAAGCATATTTCACTGCATTAAGTTTTACCAAGCATCTGTTCTCTATATATTATCTATTCTATAAATTATATGCATATATTCCATTCTATGCATATACTCTATATCTGGGGTTTCCAACTGGCGGCCCGGGGGCCGCATCCGGCCCTCGAAGCCTTGTTTTGTGGCCCGCGAGCTAAACTATATTAGTTGTCATTTTTTTGCGGGCAATTTTCGTAAATACTTTAAAATACTTTTTTCGTTAATAAAAACCTAATTTCTTCGTTTCTGTGAAATTTTATACCAGCGGTGCAAAAAAAATATTTTTCTCTGGTTTTGCACAAAGGAAAATATTTATTCAAATGCAAAATAATCGGGTATGTAGCTCTATTTTATTTAATTTTTTTTTATTTTGTGAAGATAATTTAGCATGTGCGTATCAAAAATTTTCTCGAAGAAATTATCCGATTTAACTTTTTGAAACCACTCACTCATTTTGGACGAAAACATTGACACACACATTTGTTAATTTTAAATTTAAATATCTATTCTCTGGTGGTTGTAGCAGACAAATCTCAATTTTCTCATAGAATATTTTGTGTGCTACTATGTAAGTTTTAATAAAAACCTAAGTTATTGTAGCCCGAATTTTTATTATTTATTTAATATTTTTAAAAATATTATTAATAAGAATTAAATATTTCTAAAAATCTACTTCTTATTTTAATTTGTAATTCAATACTTTTGTTTTGTACAACTTATTAAAAATCTGACAATAATATTTAATGTTCTTTCAAACATGAAAAAGTCCTTCATAAAATTTTGATAAAGTTGTGGCCCCACCATTTGATTTGAATTTTTAATTGTGGCCCGCGGCCTCATGTAAGNGCGTCTGCGTTTTGGAAAGCCCTTAAATGTATTTTTTTTTTTTTACAAAACGGCATTAAAAATATATAGATATTTGAAAGAAAGAAATATAAACAGGGTTTTCCAAAATTTGATTGGCATATTCAGGGGTTGGTAAAATGCATCAAAGGCATGAAAACTAATCCCCGAATACAGAGTATAGAGTCGCAAACTTGTTTACGAAAAATGTATACAGGTTTTAACTTTGTAAACATTAACAAAAGGTACAACAAACGGGCTAACTATTAAAAAATTTGATTGATTAATTATTACATTTTTTAAAATGACTTCTGCTGACGTCATTGCACTCTTAACAAAGACATAAAATGATTTTCAGAAACAGGTTCCTAGTGTGCTTTTGATCTCCGTTCAGCAATGAGAATCCGAGAAATGAGGTCTTTTCATTGGTCGACAGGCGTCGCATAAAAAAGTGAACCCATAGGAAAAAATCAAACTGATTGAAATCTTTCGAATGAGGAGACCATGCAACTTTCCCCGCGGGTTCAATACACTTGCTGCCCTGTAACTCACACACTTCTAAGAAAATCAAGGTGGACCTGTTGCAGAAAAACTTTCCTCCACCTTTCAGATTCTGAGCTTGCATGTGAATTTCATTCCATGAATGCTGTTTGCTATCCCATGTTATATCCTCTTGGGGCCTTTGATCATATTCTGTAAATATTCCGTATAGGTTTGATTGACGCATTCTGTTTAAGAGTTTATCATTAATGTGTAGTTTTATTTTTGCAGGTGCTATAGGATGCGTATGGTTTCTATTTTGGGGCGGTCTTATCTATGAAACACCAGCAAGCCATCCTAGTATTTCAAAGGAAGAATTATTTTTCATCGAACAAAACAAAGACGAGAAGCCCAAGGAGGTGAGGTGCCTTCCATATAGTTTTACGTAGATGGTGTTTATAAGTTGTAGCGACAAAATTTAAAAGACATAGTGCAGTTCTAAGGATTGATAAGAACTTTCCTCTAACACGTTACTGGAAAGCTCTTATTACACTATTAAACATGGGTGAAAGCAAAACGGAAAAGAAGAAAAGCTGGCGGTAAAACTATTTCAGTTTTAACTTGTTTTCGTCTGGTGTAAATCTATTCGTTTCTTCAAACTATTTGCCAATATCAGCTTTTTCTCAACATTGAAGCAGTTTTTTTTATATATATGCTAAAATTGTAAAAAGTATCTCGGTAGTTTCGGTATCTCTAACCAGTTTTTGCTCCTTTTCTGTCCTGGTATATATAGGCTTTCAGCACTGCTGCTAAATGCATGGTATTCTGCATGAAAGTGCTGATGATAAGCTCATGCCAACTTCTCTTTTTTCAACCCATTTGCGTCAATACCTGTTTGAAAAACTCGTTTCTTTCTTAAAAAAAGAAACGATGGTAACACGCATTTTTCATTACAAGATTTTAGCAATAGAAACCTTATAGTTCTATCTACATTACTATATTAACAATATAAATGCTTTCATTGCTATTTATTGGCACATTATTGCTTCTTTTAAATCTTAAATGGTAGGCAACATGAAAAAATTTTTTTTACTAGTTATAAACAAATTTGTATTACCACTTTTTCCTTTATAAACCTTTTAAATCGTGTCAGGTGCTCAAACGGTTAGTAAAAGATTTAAATTGAATTCACAAGTCACACAAAGTTTTATGATTTACCATTCCAATTTTAGTTTAACAAATGTAATTTTCAAAATACCAGGAATTCAGGAAATCGCGAAGTACCTTCTTCTAGTGCTAATAAAAAAAATCTGAAATTTCTAAAATAAATTAAACATTTATAAACTATTTTATCGTAACTGAGATGCTGGGATAGCCTAGTTGGTAGAGTGTTGAGCCTATGTCGTGAGATGGATCCTCGCTTGCACGCTTTATACATAGGTTTAAATTCATTGTGCGTAGGGAAGAAAAATGTTTTTGAACTCTAGTTGATTTAAAAGTAATATACAATTGGTACCACATGAAGAAAAAAATTCCGAAGCTAATAAAAATGTGTAGTACTTGGAAAGTTTGATACAAGGATATTGATCACCACTGTACATTAACAATTTTTTAATAATGTTTGTATGCACCTGGAAAAAATTCGTAACTGTTATCAATTTTATTAAACCGTTTTGTCCCGACTTTATATACTGAAATGATACAAGAAGTGGTTTTATGGAAAAGGTGGTATAATATATAATATATTATCGAAATGAATTGGTTTTTCTACTGTTACGGCATTCAAAAAGTCTTTGATAGATCAAAAAGTACTTGCTCCTTTTAATTCTAGCTCTAGTCAGAAATAACTAAATCATTGTGGTATCTGATAATCTTTTAAGTCACTCAGATAAATGAAAATGCTGAAAAAAGTTTCCCACCACAATGAATGTCTTTGAAAAAAGGAACTGTCCTGAATATATGACGCTGGGCGTTAACATATGACGCTGGGCGGTTAAACAGAAGCCTAAAATATCTTAATACTAGCTTTCGCTATCGAATTACTATTTAATATCGGCCACATTTGGAGCTATATATATTTACTTTGAGAAAAGGAAATTTTCTGGTAGCTACAAACACATTAATATTACTATCACTTTTTAATATTTTTCCAGGTGAGTGTTTACCCCTTTAGCATAATTAAACTTACCTTACCTTAATTGTTATTTCACTTGAACATTTTGTGCTCATTTTAACCCTTTACATTTCGATGTCTCCACTGAGGCACCCTCAACAGTTACCACTTTGAAATTAAGAAATTTTGCATCTTTATAATTAATTACCACATTATTATAATAATTTTAAAATTGTATAATAATACTTTATTGTGTATTTTAAATGCTATAGTGCTAATATTAGATCAAACAGCATTTGAAAGTACTCGGAGTGCAAAGGATTAAGTTTATAGATTGTTGCCATACTTGTTGGAATTATTTTGGTTTGAGCAACTTAAAATACAAGATGGTAGTAAAAAAATTAAGAATGGAAAACTCTCGATCACTTAAAGAGAGTTTGAATTTTTTTTTTTTTTTTACTATATGCTGATTCTATTGGCTTCAGTGAATGAATGCTCATTGCCGTATTGTCTGCTATGTTCTTTACATGGACGAAAACTAGAAAGTATACGATTGGAAAGGAATTCTAAAAACCCTTAGGTACCTGAGAGTAGACATGCGACCAAATAAAGCTTTACATTCGAAGAAGTAAGGACTTAATGGTTTTCTCTAGGGAGATGGATTAAGAAAGAGAGATTAGTCTTACGAACCCGATACCCTCCTGATTAATACAATCCAGACTTATTTCTATAGGGTTTCTTCAACGCTAAATGGTGATCATGTTAACGCTCAACTGCTTCTGCGATCAAACTAACTTATGGTGTTGCAAACAACAGAGCATAATGGTACCACAAAGGTGTGTTTCAAACTCTGTGGTATCATTTTGTTCTGTATTCATGTGATATGCCATTTGTAATCATGATGTCCATCAAAGGTTTCTACTTATTTGAGTCCTTTCAAATCATTAACATTTGTTTCCAGTTTTAAGTCATGGGTTGTAATTCAAAACTATATTCTTTTGAAATACCCTAATTCAATTGACACCTTTGTAACGACATATTTGAGAAACCAATTGTACAACTTTAGGAAACGTTACTGTTAATTCTTAAATTAGTAAATATTGACTTTCAGATAATATTATTTCTTATGGTAGAGAGTTTTAGCTACGATATAAAAATTAATTTTACAAATAAATAAATAAAATATATATATATATCCAAAGTNATATATATAAAGAGAGAGGGAGGTATATTATGGAATTAGTTTTTTATGGATATAGATGTTTTATTTATTTATTTATAGCATGAAAAACTTTAACGAATACATGTATACTAAAATTATTAAAATCATAATTTTTTTTTTAAAATTTAGAAAGCTGCAATTCCGTGGAAAAGTATTTTTACTTCTGTACCCATGTGGGCTTTAGTTTTTGCCCATATTGGACACAATTTTGGATTCCTGATCTTGCTTACAGAGATGCCAACCTATTTGAGTTCTATTCTTCATTTTGACTTAAAATCGGTGAGTAATTTATTTTGGTAGCTATATTTGTTCCAATTTTTATTGTAATGTAGGCCGGTCAAATACTACGCTTTTGTAAAATATTTTATGTAGTTACATATCGATAATCCAACAGCTGCTCCTAAATGGTCTATCTCCCTTTATTCCAAACACATCAGTGTGAGCCGTTTGTAAATACGGTTGAATTTCTTAAAATTCTACAAATTTCGTTTTTATGCCTTTACAACTTTATAAAATCTTTTGAAAAAGCAATCCTCCTTTAACACTATTTTTAGAATATAAATAGACCTACGACAAAAGAATAAAGTATTATATAACTATTAATATGTTACGGTGTTTTAATTACTTTTTATAAAAAATTAAAATAGAAAAGAAATGCCTTTACAACCAGTGTCGAAAAATTTTCTAATTTAAAGTTCAACTACCGTTTAAATTTCAACTATTTGTTACGCTTGCTTCTAGCACCAATATCCGCAGTATTTATTTTATTTGCACAAATAATTTAATATTTTTAAAATCGGATGTCCCATATATATAGATTAATTGTCGTTACTAAAGCAAATATTCGCGGCTCTAAAACATTCCTTTAAGTTTTGAAGCATAAAATTCTAAAACCAAATTCAAAGTTTTATTTTTAAAAATGATTTTTTTTTCGATTATTGCAAGTGATACATTGTGTTAGAGATGCAGTACTAGGTTTCTTTTCGCTTCAAAAATCAACTTCTTTTTTATGATCATAGTAACAAAGACAAATTATTTCAACGCAGTGAAAACAAGTGATAAAAATGAACATTTCTCTTTCAGAATGGTGTATTATCTGCATTACCCTATATTGCACAAGCTCTAACTGCATGGGTAGCTTCTTACATTGCAGATAAATTGAGAAAATCCAACAAGTTATCGATCACAACCATTCGCAAAGTGTTCAATTCAATTGGTAAGTGTACAAGGAACAACACTGGCAAATAAACATATTATTGCATTTGTGCAAGTAGTTAATCTTACCTGATTCGAGAGTGAAGATTACAAAGCTGAAATTTGTTCTATTCCAAAAGCTAGAGATATTTTCAAAATAATACTTTTGGTTCAGTTTAATTTTTGTCTGAGTCTACAAGTTTATAAATAATGTGTTGCTTCCTATTGGTTCATTTTCAAATTAACACATAAAAATGACTTTAACGTATCATCTTAACGTTTAGTTACCACTTCATTCAGTGATGCTGGGATTTTATAAGGTAATATACCAAAAATTCTTTAAAAATCTTAGTGGTTGCGTTAATTTTTTTAACAGTTGAAAGGGCTTCCAGTGCAAAGGGTTAAAATAGCTGGTCCTCTTTATGCATGCTTAAACTTTTAAAAGTCTATTAAAGCAAATTAAATAAAACAGGAATCAAGCATGAATGCGAAAATTTATCTTACTTTGAAATGTAAAATTGAATTCTAAAACGTGAAGACCAGATGATAGACCAAAAGTTATTCAGGGTGCTTCTTTTCTGCGCACTGCATAATTTTATTTTAAATTAGTTTCTAAAAAATGTTCGAAAAACAATCAAGAAGGTGTTTTATGCTTAAACTAAATATATCCTAAAAACTTAAAGCGATAAACTTTTTTTTTTATTACGTGTGTCACTATTTTTAATTGTCTGTTTTATTTATAGGTTTATTTGGACCAGCAATCTGCCTTATTGGAATTACTGTATCGGGATGCCGTCCTGAACTCATAGTAGTTCTACTGACATTTGCAATGGCATTCAACGGTTGCGTATACTCAGGGTTTAACGTAACTCATGTGGACATGTGTCCAGAGTATGCAGGTAAAAATTAATTTAAATGCAAATAATTTTCATGAGATATAATCGCAGCAGATAGAACAAGCAGATAAAAATCGACCTCATAAATGCTACCGATTTGTGCGGGTTATTTAAAAAGTGTACCGCAGTGAACTGATCGTAAAGACATTATTAATCCAAACCTATTATGCTTAATCCAAACCTATTAGGATTAAGCCAAATTAATCCAAACCTATTATGATTAATCCAAATAGTTTAAAAAAGTACTTATTTGATGCTAAAAATGGGTTATTTGAAGGTATGAAAGTAAAAAGGGTTATTTGATAGTAAAAATGGGTTATTTGATGGTGCAAAAGTAAAAATGGGTTATTTGAAGGTATGAATGTAAAAATGGGTTATTTGAAGGTATGAATGTAAAAATAAGTTATTTGAAGGTAAAAAATAGGTTATTTTATGGATTATTTACACGCTGTAGTTATGCTCTGAAATATTAATGACATTTTATTTTATTTTACTTCTTGAGATCATTAAATATGCATGAAAAACTATTACATGTCGATTGTACACTTTTAAGTAGTATTAAAAAATTTAAATAAAATCTTAAACGTTTCGGTTTTCATAAATTTTTAGAACGATGCTCCAACTGAAGATATTAACTGATTTTATTTTGTTTTAATATTATTTTTTTCAATAAGATATCTTTTTCGCACTATAGCGTTTTGAAAATAAAAGCGTCAGTTTCATCCATCCTCCCTATTAGATATGTTAAATAAAATCACAAATGAGTCAGCCAAATTGTCGTGCCCATATTTAACCGTTTACCTACCGGAGTCTTATTTTGCATTAATGGAAAAAGTGCCATTTTGAAAAGCGTGCTAACAGGTTTCCATATAAATTAAATCGAAACTTTCTTCAGTTTAGCTACTAATCACGTTAAAAAATCAAAATCCCTGATTGATTTCTGAAATGATACAAATCACAACACATATAATTTTATATAATTAATAGATTTTGATTGAGCAATACTCAGTTTTTCCAATTCCAAGAAACAATAAAATATATTTAAGTTACCAATCTTTAACATTTAAAAAAAAAGAGTTCCGAAATTGGGACATCGAACGGTTCAGGAATTGCTTTTCATTTTTTTCCCATCCTGATAGTGTTCGAATGCATTTGTGGTTCGCCCGTCCCAAAGAGGTTAAATAAAAGCTGTCAAGATTAACTTGAGCGTTTTTTGATCAGTACATAAAAACCGAATTACAGTTAAAACAGTTGCTGAGCTGCGATGACTCAGAGGATAGAGTGTTCGCCTTCCAATGAGATGAACCGGGTTCGAATCCCGGCGATGGCTAGTCGATACGAATTGCGCATCCGGCTTACACCGACTACATTGCTGACGTGAAATATCTTCAATGGTAGACGAATTTCAGGTTAGAGTGCCTTTTCCGTCAGGCTAACCATGGGTGGCTTTCATGGTTTTCCTCCCCATATAACGCAAAGGAGGGTAAGTCTTGTCAGAAAGTCCTGCAAGAAGGTAAATTTCTCCCAATACTTGATCAAGGAGTTCCCTTGTCTACAGGATTGGGTTCAAAATTACAAGTCTACGGAGTTGAACATAAGTAATCGTAAACCCAAAAATTGGGTCGACTGTTCAATGACAGTTATTTAAAATATAAAATAAAGAGTCACCTTTGCTGTTATCTGATGACTTATGTTTTTTACTGATATTTTTGAGATATTTTGCACAGTATTTTAACTCATTGTATTCTAATGAACAAAAAATAAAACAAATATATA